AAAAAAGAAAATCCCCCCCGCCTAACCCCCACCCCCAAACCCACCCAGCCACAACACCGTGAATTCCTCAGGGAGGTGCCAGCCTCATCCTCTTGTAGTACCCACACTCTTGCAGTGAACTAAGAAAACGCTTATCTCCCTGAGCCTGGCCTTCATAAGTCCATTCCATCACAGGTTAATCCACATGGCTGATAAAGCTCAGAGGCAGCAACGTAGACCATTCAGAGAATCTGAACATCAAGCATGGAAATCGGCGCATAAGAAACAGGGAAGAACTCAGGCCAGCATTTCTAAGCATTCTTCCCAATTTTATAGGGCGACTTCAGTGCTCAGAAAAATTGCACTGAAAAGTATGTATCAATGGAAGTTCCATACAAAAAAAGATTGTGCTGGAAAATGACATGGCAAATGTTTATGTGATACAATGCTACATTCATTTCGAAATATACCGGCATTGTTTGCCTTTCATGGATCAAGATATTTCTGTCCTTTGGAATAACCCTTTCCTAAAGTTGTTACATCCAAAATTCCATTAAAGAATTAAAGCAAAGCTTTGGGCAAAAGCAGTTATGTTTGCATGCAACGTGTGAATGGTAAAGAAAACTGTGCAGAAAACAAAATGCAGAAGTTGATTCTCTTTCCAAAACTTGTAGATAATGTCTAAATATATATTTTAAATATATGCAGTGCAGATTGATCTAAAACCTATGGCTGAATGCATTTGAAGATAAGAGTCCTCTTAGCTACATACTACTTGTACCAAGGAAACTCCCAAATATTTGAGTTTCATCACAATTAGACCCCCAAGTAGAGAAAGGGGTGAAAAAAGGGAAGGAATGGACATGCACGCACGAGAGAGATAAATGGAAGAAGACCAGACATAATCAAACAGGGAAATAAAAACAATTCCATGCATTGCTTTTTAGATCTACGCGATGATTTGTGTGCAATACGTTGCAGAGCAGTTTACTCTTACTGAGGAGCTAAGATTGGTCTTTACTACTTTTCTGGCAACTAAGATGATATCTGAAGGCAAACTAAGATTTGTTATCCCTCATTGGGCAGACACATTGGAGAAAGACACGGCGACAAGCAGATGATTATAAATGGAATTTATCCATTGGAAAATGAAGAGAGAAAGACAGACAAGAAATCCAGGAAGGGAAAAATAGAGGACCATATGCAGCAATAATTCCCTGTCATAAAGAGATCTTGGTTTGGAGGATCGGGATTTGAAGATTTGAGCAAACTGGTGGTCCTTTTTTTTTTTCCTAGAAAGAGCAGGGAGGAGAAAATTAGAGGAACTGATTACATCCTAAGTAGTGTTGCATTTTTTCTCATGTTAGGAATGCAGGGGAACGGAGCATTTAAAGAAAGGATGGCTGGATAAGGAAGGGCTTGGTTTCCATTGTTGACGAGCAGAGTCTTGGGCCTCCTGAAGCAAGGAAAGCAGCTATAGATCCAAGCAGGTCTGTAGGTTCAGGGGCAATCAATGGGGCAAGAGTGAGAGGGAAGCTGACAGGGCAGACAATTTGCCCATTTTGTCAGGCACAGGCAACATTTGGAGGAAAGGATGCAACATGAGGAGAGCCTTGCAAGTTTCCATGGATCAGTGGCAAGATCTAATTTGGATTCTGTTCGATCACCAAAATGTTAATTCATATGATGTTACCATGGAGGGACATGGAGGGAATCTGCTTTGGGCCAGACCTACTTCACTCAGGGGTGGGGGGAATAAGGATTTTGTAGCATTCCTAGGAAAAGGCATAGCAGCTGAAGTGGAGACAGAAGATTAGAAAGGTCAAAGCTGGATGTCATGTAGCCAATCTTGGCTGTTTGTTCACAAGTCTTTCCTTTCATGAATTAGGGGCCTTCTAGATGCCTTTCAACTGCACCTTCCCAAATTCTCAATTATTGCAAATGATGGCTGAAACCATTGGGGCCCTCATTGACTAGGGGAATGGGAAAGGCCCTCCCACATCTAAATTTGGTTGTTGAACTAATCCATTCATTGCACACAACACAGTGGATCATAAGTGAACCAAACTGGCTGTGTTTGCACCCTATGCTGAACCACAAAACCTAATCAAGGTTAAACACATTGTGGCAATGCAGGTGGTGGTCAAGCACATGAGATGAATGGAAACTTGATTTTTACAAGAGAGAGAAGTTCCAGATATGATATCAAAGGGGAGAAGTTTATTATATCGTTTTGCCTCCTTCCCTTGATCCATACTTCCATGCATCTTTATTTCATTTCAGCTATAAAAATGCTTGAAGTGGTACATCACATGTTCCATAGCACAGATCATAACTCCTTACAACTGCTCATGTAGTGAGATATTAATGGGGAAGACTTATTCAGACATTAAGATCTACTTTGTCTAATTCAAGCTCATGCCAGATCTTGTGCCTCTTTGGTAAGGCTCTTCAAAGAAATGACCAGTAAAATTTATGTTGGGCTTTAGCTATCTCAGAAACCAGCCTTCTGCAATCTTTAGTGGTCAGACTAGACATCCCAAAATGGAGAGATGTGAATTATGTGATTGTAATTTGGGAGAGCTCTCTCTAGTAGTAAGACCTAATTGAAATTTGATGATCTCAAGGAAGCTAAGCAAGGTCAGACCTGACTAGAATGTGAATGGGAGAAACCTCCAGGATTTGACTGGTTACTAAAAAAAAGAAAAAAAGAAAACCAAGAAGAAGGAAATAGAAAAACACTTCCTACTGTTACCAAGAAAAGTACATGATTCATTACATGTCATCACAGAAGGTGACCTGGACTCACCTTTACCTTTTTCAGCCTGGGAAGGTCTTCCTTCCTATCTTAGAGGATAGTACAGAAAGGAAAGCCAGGCTTCAGGAAACAGGAGGACATCAATGACCTCCGGGAAGTGGGACAAATAAGGGACAGCTCAGACATACAAGCTCACAGGCAATACAATTCAGAACAATCAGGAAGCAAGGGAGAGGATGAATAAAAATCAAGTTCAATCCCCAAACCAGGTCACTTGTTGATGTCTCACCTGTTATGTGCTCACCTGATCTACAAGCCATGTCCACGTCTTTCTCAAAATCAGTCTGGAAGACAGAGAAAGCAAAGGGAAGGTGATCAGCAATGTGGAAAGGAGAAGGTTGGTATGCAGTCGAAAAGAACAAGAGTTTGAAATTCCAGCTGTTCAACCCTATGGAACTGAAAAGCAAATGACAGCTGTAGCAAACCCCTGATTTTCCAGGAAAGCTGTTTAGAGGTGAGATGTCAAATACACAGTTATGCTAAAACCTCTTAATGCTTGGTCTGGTTTCTTTTTTGGCTGGCTGGTGAGATCAGTACCAAAAATATTTGTGCATATGTTTGTGGGTGGAAGAAATGGGTGGCCAGAGTTGGAAACTCTTGTGTGAGCTGGACAGAGATGCAAAAATAATTAGAAGATGTACATTGGCAGGTTCATCGCATAGAATGAAATGAAGCAGCAGAGGATCATCTGCATTTAGTGGGATTTCATTATGGGTATTTTAATGCATATCTAATTTATGCAGGTGAATCCTGAAGAATGTGAATGATTAGGACTTTCTCCTGAATGACAATGAAGTTGTGCTGTCAAGAAGATAGTGGCAGATTTCACCTTCCGTGTAGTCACTGAAAGCATGTTGGTTCTATCTTTTCATCTTACTAAAAGAAATTGAGGGGAGAAGCCCAAGTTTTGTCCTTGGGAAAATGGCTTCTCACCTCATGGCTTCTCCTGGAAAACTGGGAGAAGAAATCTTGCATGATCAATGCTCATCAGTGATCATGCAATGCTCGCATGATCAAGCATGGGGCATCGAGTTTAAATGCCATGAAAAGCTGAGTTTTACAAAAGCAGCCAAGATAGAAGGCGAAAGAAGCAAAACAACAATCTGACTGAACTTGTCAAACATTTTCAGTCAAAGCAGGTGAGATCCATGGGCTCTATATCCCAGAAGATCCAAGTAGATGTGCTTCTGTCAGACAGAGCCCCAGGTTATTTGAATTCCACTAATGCAGTCGTTCTTCAAACGGGTACCCTCCAGATACACCAGGCTACAACTCCCATCACCCAGAGCCAGCGTGGTCAGTGACGGTGTGCCACCCAACAGTTCTGGAGAACATGGCTTGAAGAAGGCACTTGAGGAATGTTGGCACTAACAAAAAGCATTTGACAATGCTCATTCATCACATTTGGAAATCGTGGTGGATTGCGACTTGCATTGATAAATGGGTGATATGGGTACAGAAGGAATCTGCAGCTCCAGATGAAATAATGTCTGAGTACCAGTTCAGATGGTTCTTTAAAAAAGGATTAAATACCTTTATGAAGGTGAGAGCTATCAAGGCTCACTCGATAGCAACTGATGGTCAGCAATGAATGAGGGGGACCACTCTCCTGTCTCGTTTTGAGAATTTCCTGAATGTGTCCACTTGCCATTATGTGACAGCCTAATCCTGGACTGGATGAACTTTTGCCCTGAACCAGCCTCTTATGTTCTTGTAGTTTGACTTTCTTTAAAAGTCTTTTTATGGGCCTGTCTCATGGCAATAAAGCCTAATCAAATACATTTTACGATGAACAGCAACCAGGCCAAGATAAAAGGATGGTTCTTTCCCAATAGAAGGAGTCATACGTGGTCCAAAGAAGACATCCACAGCCTTTGGTTTGCATCACCCTGGGGTCACTGCAGCCACGAAAGCTACATCTCCCCTCTCCTTCAAAGCATTTTCCGCTTACCATAAGCTGGGCATGGCCGTTCTGGAATGACCCCCCAGAATCGCCATTTCCTTCTTCTTGACGATCCACGACCCGGCATTTCACAGCATCCTGCACCTAGAAAAGATTGTTGCATTAGGCAGAATCAGTTTAAAGTCTTGCACTCAATAAAATAAGGGATTGGTAGCGAACGAGCTTCAGCTTTTGGCAATTGCACAGTCATTAAAACTAGCCATTAAAGAAACTGAAAGGAAAAACTAACAATAGCTGTTAAGATAAGTTAAGCAGTGGAACTATCTGCCTCAAATGCAAGTGAATTTCCCCTTGCTGGAGGTCTCTTCCAACTCATACATTCTATCATTTTCTTCTTTTTCTTTATCATCATCATCATCATCATCTTCATCACCACCACCACTACATCACAGGTTTTTAAAAAAAGTAAATAAAATAGTTTTATTTATTATTATATCTTAAAAAGATATATGCAGCCCTTCAACATGGAGTTTCCCAAGGATGATTTACAACACACTGAAATCACAATATGGGTGTGTGTGTATGTGAAAATTATACATAGATATAGACATAGATATAGGTATATACAACATTAAAAGCTTCAGTGTAGCAAAAACATTTAAAATACTATATTCATCAATGCTGGTCAGAAATTCAACATGTGCTAAATTAGGAAAAAAACTGGAGGAGATCACTGAACTTGGTGGAACGGGTCTGCCGTTCGCAACTTACATTCCAGTAATTTCAGTAGATTTATTTTAAGAACAACAATATTTGGATCCAATCCACAGTTTTTCTTGCTTACTGCTTTAAAATAGTTATATATTAGCTTTCCACAAAATGCTCTCAAATAGTACAATTAAGCAAGAAGTTTTTTTTTTTTTTAAAGAAAGAAATCAGAATCATTTTGTTTTTTAAGTAATTCACAATAGCTACTCCTTCTTCAGGGGAAATACATTTCCTGCACTTTTTTCTGAGTAGTTTGCATTTGGTTGGATGACCATGAATTTGCCTTCAACTAGGAGAGCATTTCAGAGATACCTGCATAGGCTGAGTGTAGCAGTTTTGCACTTGTAACTAAGAGAGGGGTCTGTTTATGCATGTCTGTATGCATGCATGAATGTCATCTCTGTCACTGTATACCTGTCACACCAACAAGCCAACCTGGATTCAAATACATCAATTCCGCCTCAAGCAATGACATCATACCTGAATACTTCTCTTATGACCTTTTCTGTAGCAAGGTTACTATCTCCCAAAAGCGGACTTTGAGAAATCACCGGATGATTTCTCCTCCCCTGGAACCTATTCAGAGAAATCATTCATTGAATTTCTCTGCCCACGTGTTACCTGAGGGGTTTTAAAAGATCACTCTTTTCTGTAAATCTTGTAAGGTTCATGAGAACAATGATGTCAGCTTCCAATGGTTGGAGATGGAGAAGAAGGCAGAATGTGCCTTTGCTGGTTTTTCAGTTGTTGCTATTATCATATTGGGCTAGAGTAAACACAGAAGTATCACCCCCTGCTCAGGAAAGGTTTGACTCAGCTCCAGATTAGGAGGCCACTAGATGTTAATGTCCAATCAGAGGATAACATAGATTCAGCTGCTTAGCTCTTAAGAGACAACCAACATGGTTCAACATAGGAAAGAAATAAAAAAGTTAGAAAACCTTCCTCTTCAGCTAATGCCCTCCAGATATGTTGGATTTCAATTCCTTTATCTATAGCAAGCATGGACTCTGAGCTTTGGGAAATGCTCATTTAAATAACCGCAGAAAAAAAATCATAATTGAATTCTTCCCATAATTTAAGGGTGGACAGCCTGTGACTCCAGGGTGACCCATGGCTGTTCAGTCCCCTTTTTATACCCCTTGGAGATTCCTCTGGTCATGATTCCTGAAAACTGGTGTCACCGCCTCTTTTCTGTTGGAGGTGGGAACATTTGAAAATGTTAGTGTAACCTCTGAAATACTTATGTCATCTAAAGAGGTGTTTCTCAACCTAGTAACTTTAGGATATGTGGACTTCAAGTCCACATACCTTAAAGGTGCCAAGGCTGAGAAACACTGATCTAAAGGATCCGCTTTTGCCCACATCATTTAATTTATGGTTGCCCACCTCCCCAAATGTTAGGTAGCCCCTATCCAGCAACTTTCTCCTATTTCCACAGGCATAAGAAAACATCCTCCTAAACACAGAAAGATCCTCTGCAACCATTCATGCCCAAATGCCCACCTCTCTTCTAAGAATGCAATGGACCATCACAATGACGAACCCCTCCAAGGAGTCGAACACCGCAAAGAGGATCTGGAAGAGGGCTGAGCGACGGTCGGTGATGGCCAGCACTGCCGACATCCAGGTGAGGGCCAGCAGAGGCAGGACTACACAGGAGCTCCAGAGGGATGCCCTGAAAGGGGGGAAAAAGGGAAAGAAACGTCTCTTGGCTTCTACACAAGCCCACTTCTAGCGCTGCATTCACTCGCTTGAGTGAATCCCACCAGGCTATCAAAGAGGAGTAATTGAGGTACAGGCAGAGGGACTCCAAGTGGCTTCCAAGCTACAATCAAACAGAATTACAAGGCAGAAGGGAAGAAGCAAACGAAACAAGTAGAACTCTCAATTATGCCTAATCTAATGCACTCTGCACCTACACTTAGATCCACTTCTTCTGGCTTAGGGTGAAGAAAAACGAAAGAAATGCTGGGGTTATTTCTTGTGGCACAGGACAAGCGGATGCAGAGAGAGAGAGAGAGAGGAAGAGAGAGACAGACAGACCGAACCCCGCTTTTATCTTTCTTCAACTTTCCGTGTTTTGCTCAGGGGCATCCATGTGTATGCGTGTGGGGAGGGGGTCAGAAAAGTCAATATGGCAGCCACAATCACACAAGTGAAGCCACACTTTTTTTTTTTTTTTACAGGCCTCCCGTGTGCAACAAATGTCAAAAAGAGGCCACCTTGACTTCACGCCATCTTGACTTCACTTCACCAAGGCCCCTGGTATTTATCTGGCTATTCCTGTCTTAAGTGTCCTCTTCACTGTAATCTGATATGGCTTAAATTAAATATTAGTTAAGAGTTAAGATCACCTTAAGGTACTAACTGAGAGCCCAAACATGTTACCTAAAAGAGACCCTAAAAATGAACTTAGAGACTTACTTACTTACTTACAAACATCTTCAGAAACTATAACTAGTTTAGTAATTCTAAGAAGAGGACAGACTAATACCAAAGAATTTGTTCAGTGTTCTCCCTTCAATGTGAGCCCTCTGAAGATTTATTTGGTGTTGCTGAATGCAGCTCAGAAGATGGGCTTACCATTGGTGTATTAGTGTAACGCTAAAGGTGTGTTAGATCTTCCATGACACTGACGTCTCCTTAGATAAGGATAGGTAGAAATATCAGTAAAATAGAATTAAATTTGCTTAGGCAGCTGAGAAATGGACATACAGATTGGACCGCTATTTCTGGAGTTTATGAGATTTGCATGAATGATTTCTGCATGAGTTCTATTTATGAGCATGAAGCAACATGGAATAAAATTGGGGTGTATCTGTTTGTGTGTGCTCTTAGCCAGTCCTGCATGCCAAGAAATCTCTTAGATTAATCAGAGCCAAGCTCTGATAGGTTCTTAGCACTTTGTTAAAGAAACACTATTTCCCATTCTGGAAAGACTGACACATCATCTTTCTTGAATTCATGTGGAAACAAACAAACAAACAAACATTAAATCACATATTTCAGCCAAGAATGGAGAAATTGTATAACTTACACATTGTTTATAGACTATTTAGCAGTTCGATGGTAGGTGGAGGCCACCTGGACAAGGAGACTTCTGCTCTAGCAGTTGTGAGTGTGTGTGTGTGTGTGTGTGTGTGTGTGCAGAATTGTTTTGGACTAACAGATCAAGTTCTGGAAAAATATCATATTTTAAAACCAAGTAGTACATCTAACATACACATACACAACCAAAGTCTGTATTCCACCTTTTACTGGAATTCCACCTTCCACCACTTCTGCCACCACCTCCTCTCTCGGCCATAATCTACTCCGCACAACATGACAGCAGTAAAACCAACTTAAGGACAGGCACAAGGAGGGCAAAACAGATCTCATTCCAGTCAAAGAGTGAACAGAAATGACTTGTGGGGTGAGGGGAGGAGAAGGTCAAAGGTTGATGACACCATAGCAGGGGATATGTTTCATGCAAGGAACAAGAGAGTCAACACATCAGTTATTTGCCTAGAACAGTCATTAGGACCAATGCATTGGGGTGAGATAGCAGGAAATATGTCAAATTCTAATGAATTCTCTTTCTCACTTCCTGAGATCAGCAATCCATGCTTAACTCCAGCAATGCGTGATACTGAGGAATTTGATTGACATGCATAATTTGGCTTGTTTTTAGATGGCCGGGCTAGTTATCTCATTATCAGTAGCAAGGATCAGTACTTGAAAAGAGTGATGGCACAGCTCAGGTCAGATGAAATAAGGCTGGGTTCTTACATTGGACAGGGCAAGAACAGAACAGCGGTTTCAAAGTTAAACCATAGGTCTTCCCCCAAAATATGTTTGGGACAGGAAGTGGGAGAATGTCAAAACAACTAGGGTCATTCAGCCTGAAGTGCTGTGAATTCACAAATATCAAGTATATGTGGTTCTACCGAACAGGGCTAGAAATGGAGATAGAGGAAGGGAGAAGGGGAAAAGAAAGTAAGAGCTGATGTGAGACAGAAGGAAGGACATGACAGAAAAGAAGGTGGTTACAGAGATATAATCAAGGGCAGGACATAGAAGCTTTTGGGAAAGCTTTAAAGCTGACATGGAAAGAGGGGCTGGTGTAAAATAGAAAGAGAACAGAACATATATCTGAAAAGAAAAGAAGAACTGAGTGTATGGCAGAAAGGACAGACAGCAAGCGAAGGCTTGAGTGCTCTTAGCCAGGGTGCCTGCTTAGCAGGGAGTGGTTAAGAAAGATATGTCACAAAAATGGGCAGAGCTTTGAACATCCTGCCATGGCTGCCGTCTTGGCCTTTTTGACCACAGGCACTGCCGGTTCTGAGCAAGAATCAAGCCAAACACAGACATGTGATTCATCAGATGGCGCTAAAAAAGAAAGGGAGATGGTTCAGACACGAAATGAGAAACAACTGCAAGACTGAGCCAAAAGATGAGAGAACGGAAAGCATGTGAGAAAGCACAGCTCACCCCCAGGTTTTGGTGTCTCATCGGGGGTGGGAGGTTGGGCAGGGAGGTTCCCTGGAAGAGCATAGGAACAGATGGGGTGTAAGGCAGCTTTGTGGAGGTTCACATGTCAACCCTTGCCATGAATCACTTGAAAAATGGCCAGTTAGAGTTGCATACCCCCTAAATAAGCATATATGTTGCAATCAGATATAGAGACCAGATCTGACTTTCCAGCAGGGAGGGCCCAAGTACTGGAATCCCAAATCCTTAAGAATGGGCAGTTTGGATCACCTATAGCAGGACTTTTAGAACATGGACAGGTTTGGAAAACAATGCATGATGTAAGAGGAGTTTATGGGGTTACCACAAAGAATATTTATTTTTAAAAAATGAAAAAAGGACAGGAGGAGGGAAGCAATCATCTCAGTTTTACATGGGGAGATGAACAGGTCCCCAGCAGAACATTTCATTCTGCCTTAAAGGCAACAGAATTTTTGGGATAGGGGGCTCATTCAGTTCCCCTCTTGCAGATCCAACTCTCTGTTGTTTTAGAAATACTGTAGGTTATGAGAACTTCCCCTCTTTATTTAAGAAGGTCCATCTTCTCAACCAAGGAAGAAATGGCCTGGCAAGAATTTAAGGAGTGCTGATTTATTTACATGACTATTGAGTGTATTAATTATTTATACATGAGAATTGTCATTCTCCCTCCACATATATTAGCTCCCCATATAACATGAAGGTATGTGGAAAAGACCTTAGGAGATGGGACCAAGAGATACTGCCAAGGGAATGGTCAGGGGAGAGATGTACTTTCATCCTTGCAAGACTGATGTTGGCTTTGCAGGGTAAACCAGATAGGAATCACAACCAGATGAGCTAATTCTACTTTATTGTAAAGCTACATTGATAGAATCTTGCAAGGATAGAAGTAAAATTCTCTCTCCCCCTACCCCCATCTCCTTTACAGCCCAAGAAACTAGGGAGAGTCTCTTCTGAGCCTCTTACCCTTCCCACTATCCAGCTGGGGCTATGCAGTCTCTTATCTGACCATTCCCTTGGTGGCGTCACTTGGCCCCATCTCCCAAGATCTTTCCAACATACCATCACCTATAATGGGAAACAGTGGTGGGAAAGAGAAATGTTTCCATCACCTGCTTGCAAACTCCTTGCTTGGCCATTTTTGAGAAGCAAAATGGTGGACTAAGGTGGGTCTTGGCCTGATCTGGCAAGGACATTATACTCTTTTTTCCCTTCAGGCTGGTCTGAGCTCTCCTCAAATCTGAGCTGAAAATTCATGAGTGCAAACTTTCAGCACACAACTGGGTTCTGAAACTGTGGTAAGCCATGATTAGCTTGGACCCTACTGGCCAGATTTCTATGTAACATGAAGTCATAATCAAACTTAGAAACCTCACTGGCTGCCTTAGTTAAACTGGGGCTATCATACTTTGGCTACAAAAATCTGGATGACCGCTAGATGGCTACTAGATGGAAGCAAATAGATGGAGGCCATTCTACTTCTTTATGCCCTCTAGTGGCATTCTGGATTTTTGTAGCACAAAGGTGGTCATTCTAATTAAGGCAAGGTGCAACAAAGGCTTTACAGCTTAGATAGACATATGATATATGGACTGAAAATATCCAGAGGAACACTAAAGTTAGCATGTGGTTGGTTGTCATCCAAAAGTTCTCTAGATGTTTGCAGCCCAGATACAATAGGCAAAGTTTACTGTAACACGTCTGCCTGGCTTAGCAGAATGTGGCAGATACAAGAGTAAATAAAGCCTGCAATTTTGAATCTCATTTGACCCTGAGCATTAGTATTAAATGTCTTATCAAAGACAGCTCTATCTGTAAAAGCTAGCAGCCACACTGGAATGTTCAATTCAGCTGTTTAACAATTTTGTCTTGAAAAAGGTCCAGGACTTTGAGCTGCAGGTAGAGGGAGGGAGTCTACCCTTTTCAAAAGAAGGGATAGATTTTAAGAAATTTGTCACCTGAATGTGAGCCAAGGAAAGAACAAGAAGAACTAGGAGGGAGGAAGAAATAAAATCAGACGTGGAAAGCAGCATGAAAGAGGAGACCTATAACTCAAATCAATAAATAATCATAATTGTAAAAAGGAAAAAAGAAAGGAAGTTGAAATTAGAGGAACTAACATGGCGTTACTGGTGGCTGTGGCCGAAACGTCAGCAGAAGACACCACTCCACACTTGGAACATTTGAGCGTGATGCCGTAAAGGGGCACTGCCATCTGACTGCAATTAAAATTAAAAGACTGAAACGAAACAAAACACTTTGCTCGTGAACACAAACAAAAGGGAGGTAGGATAAAGAAGGAAGGAAGGAAGGAAGGAAGGAAGGAAGGATATTCAACAAAAAGAATAGAAGAAGAAAAGGAAAGTTGAACAAAATGAGAACCCCAACCCAGACACCATAAGCTTGAAAGAAAGAGAGAGAGAGTGAGAGAGAAACAAAATAACAGGACAGGGAAGGGTTAACACTCTCAGCTTTAACATACCAGGTGCAGGAAACTTCCAGCCACAACCCCTTTCCCCCTTGCCCAAAGAGGTCACGGGCTGTGTCAAAGTCAGTGCCCCTGGACGGAACCATGTTGGAAAGTACTGACCAGCCAAACCTGAATCTCAAAATTGGGACAGCACAATGTTGCATTCTGTGGCTACTCCCATGTTCTGAAGGCATGACTCTGATACCTGAAAATGATCCAGGAACTACAAATTCCCGCCTTGAAGGTCTACTGAGGAAGCTGTAGAGATTAGCCTGACCCGTTGCTCCCATCAACAATCACTAACATCTTGCTGTGCCGTGAAATGCTTGTTTCCCTCAGATCTATGTGCAAAGATCACAAGGAACCGAGGAGGGTTGTGCCCTTTGATACAGGACAACTGTTGAACAACAAGCAGAGTTTTAATTTTTACTCTTTGGAGTAACAAAAATGTGTGGAATTAGTTCAGGCTCCTGGTAGCTTCCTGGAGATCAATATTTTTGTTCAGAGAGACAAAAGTGCAAGCAAAATGGCCAACTCATTACTAGTTGTTTCATATTAGCTATGATAACTGTTGGAAGATCCCAGATCCCCAGGCAAAAGGGTGCTACTCCCTCATATTGCTTGTAGACTTCCTGAGGGGGCCACTGCTGGAAGTATGATGTGAGGAACTTTTCTTGGATCTATCAGGGCTTTTATAATGCCTTTTGGTCAGGCTGTTCTCTCATTAAAGTTGCATGAAACAAGACTTTAGAGGGCTCCAAGATCTGGAATATTTTCTTGGCTCTAGGTCAACCTTTCTACTACAGTGGTGTGATTCTCCTGGGGAATAAATATTAGAAGCTAAACGTTCCAGGATGAATAGATCAGGCTTGATTTTGGAGGGGATATAAGGGAGCCAAAAGAGAACAAAATGGCTCTTCTCCCTAGTCATCTTTGTGTCCCAAGCAGAATTCTACCTGGAAGTGGAATGGTAACCACCATTAGCTTCTGCCCAGAACTCAAGTTGCTACTGAAATTGGGAGGTCCAATTCTGGTTTGGCCTAAACAGAAGACAATTTTATCAGAAAATTCTGGACTGAGTCATAAACAAGGATGACAAGCAATGGGCCACAATGGTCAGAACATGGGGAGGAAAGGAAGGAAATGGAAAGGCATTAGGTTTAGTTTGGTGTAATGTATATTTACACCTCCTGCATACTGTTTCCAAATGTACTCTCTTCTTACTTTCCAACACAGTTTGAAAAACTACAGGCTGAAGTTAACCAGTTAAAGGACCAGAGATGACACAGCTCTTAACCCTCCAGGCACTTCCATATTCTCCACAGATAATGCATTTCAAATGGCTAAGGACATCAACAAGCCCATTCCACATTGAAGAACACAGCTTTAAAACTATTCCACAAAGAAATCAACATAAAGGAAGGGGGAGGGGAAGAGAAACAAAAAACCTCACCCTCCATTTTCCCAAGTGTTTGCATTTTCAGCATCTATTCAGCACAGTCGATAACCAGCTAAAGCAGGATTTAATTTAACAATCTTTATCTTTGTTATGTTTTAATATGATAGCAATGCCCATAAAGCAATTCTAGAGCTGCGTCCCTTTGGAAATAATGGCTGGTATTGGGGTGAGCTGGTTGACCCAGTTTTAATCTACACGCTAAAGTCTGCCTTAGTTCCTTTTCCTCTTGCCTGCCCATTTAATACGAAGGGATTTGCAAATTAGTATTAGGGTTGTTGCATGTATGTTGGTGCAGCGATAGCAGCATTAAGTGCAACATGGCAGAGTTTTAGGTCAGCCTGACCTGAATATAACCAATGGCCCTGGAATCACTTTCAGAACAAGCTTTCCAGTAGGTTTGAGTTGATTCCAGGAATGAAACCTCAAGTGGATTGGTTGACCGTGGGAAATCCTCAAGATGCATTTTCACACTTAAAGGCTACTGATGGGAAGTAGGGGTGGTGATGTCTCAAATGCCTTTGCTGCAATGCAACGTTTGCAACATACAAGGAAGTCCAGCTCCATAAGACCTCTCTCCATGTCTGTAGAATGCCTTGCCAAATCTACTTCATGGCATTCCAGCCCTTTGGCACTGGGAAGCAGAACTGATCTACCTATGGTTCCACCAAAAAGACGATGCTCTGCAACCTTCAAGTTGATTTCAGATTGCAAGATCAATTCAACTGCTTTGCACTCAAACTACACTATCTTTGAACCAGACCCAAGTGGTGAGATCAAACTCAATAGCTCCTTGAAGCCCCGTTCTGTTCTCTAACCCAGAAATGGGTAAGGAGGTACTCTTTGATGATTTGAAAGCAAGTGTCGTTTTTGTCTTTGTGATATCCGCTTCTTTGCCTTGGCTTTACCCCCTTTGTGGAGAGTGCCACATGATCCCAAGTCTTGATTTCATGCCATAGGGAAATGCAAAGAAGAAACAGGTTTCTGATGGAACATTAGGCAAAATAATGTTCTGTATTTAGGCAATATCTAAAAAATATGGCATATGAATCTAAATGTCAGATTGAAACAGTGGATACCTGGATCCAACTTTCCAAGTGCCTGCTGGTTGACTTTAACCCTGTTGGTCTCTCCATCCCAACCAGGATAGGTCAGAAACATCCATGGGGGAATGTGTCAAATGACTAAAGCACTGTTGTGCCCCCCACACACCTACACAACAGGTGGAGCTTGTATTGCAACAGTGCAGCACTCCTTTTGTCATTTGAGGTAACCATCAGATCCTACAACTACCTCTAGTCAAGGTCATCCAGGAGGCATTGGGAAGCAGCACCAGGAGTAAAGCAGGGCAGAAGTCTTTCTCCAGCAGAGAAAGCAGAACTACTCCAGCAAAATTAAGTAATCAAGTAAACCATTTTGTCATGATGCTTCAAGACATAGAGCCAAAGTGACTGTGGATCTAGTGAATTTCCATCCTGAACTCTGAATGTGTTTACAGTCCCCTGGACAGAATTGGTGAGCAACCTGAAGGTCCTCCTGGACTCACAGCTCCTGCTTGAGGAGCAGATGGCCCAGTCAGCTTTTACACAAATACACCTTGTACACCTTTTGTGCTTGGTCCTAGATCAGGAGGAACTTCTCACAGTCACTCATGTCTTAAAATTCTCATTTAGATTGCTGCAATGTGCTTTATGTGGGGCTGCCCTTGAAGAGCATTTAGAACAGTGTTGTCCAAACTTGCCCACTTTAAGATGAGTGGACTTCAATTCCCAGAATTCCCCAGCCAGCCATGGACAACACTG